TAGGTAGTGGCAAAACAAAAGAGGCATAGGAATGGAATGGAATTTTATGGTAAAAGGGACAAAAAAAAAAGAGAAATCTGAAGAATACAAAAAAAAAGTCAGTATTAGGTGATGCAGAGTAAAGGGAGGTTAACAACTTTCTCATAAGACACATTTCCTACCTAAGTTTGAAGTTTTAGGTCCATACTTAAACTAAGAGGATGCCTCTCCTGTGAATGCTTTCTTATTATTACTAATAATTAATTAGGAATCTTAATAAAATTGATTAATTTTTACATGCATTTTCTCACTTTACATGAATTAGCTCACAACAGTCCTGTGAGACAGGTTCTAGAGGTATATTATCCCCATTTTATAGATAAGGAAAATAAGTTGGGTTTTTTTGTTTGTTTTTGTGTGAGGCAATTGGGATTAAGTGACTTTGCCCAGAGTCACACAGCTAGTGAGTGTATGTGTCTGAGGTCAAATTTGAACTCGGGTCCTCCTGACTCCAGGGCCGGTACTCTATCCACTGTGCCGCTTAGCTGCCCCTGGAAAATAAGTCTTGCAAAACCTACAGCTTTTAAATGCCCCACAGATGTGTCAGAAATAATATATAGGGGCAGCTAGGTGGTGCAGTGGGTAGAGCTCCAGCCCTGGAGTCAGGAGGACCTGAGTTCAAATGTGACCTCAGACCAAACACTTGACACTTACTAGCTGTGTGACCCTGGGCAAGTCACCTAACCCCAACTGCCTAAAAAAAAAAAAAAAGAAAGAATATATAAACTCTGGTCTTCCCACTTCCCTCTAAGGCACAAGTGTCAAACATACAGGCTACATACTGCTCCAGGGTGGCCCCAAACCAGATTAAAATATAATTGGGAAATGTTTGACAAAATAAATAAAAATACAATATGACAGATAATGTTAATTTGTGGTTTTCTAAGTCTATATGAGGCCTGCAAGGATGCTTTTCTATTTGAGTTTGATTCCATTGCTGAAAGGGATTAAGATTTCAATGCTTTTAGACATGTTATTAGGAAACATTATTCTTTTCTCTGAAACTGTCTAATAACCTGGATAGTGTATTCACCATTTTGTGAAACTCAACACAGGTTGATATTTTTAAAAGCCTACAGAAGTAATGTAATTTCTATGTGCTACTCTGTGTCTAGGAAAGCAGAACCCATATCTGTGAAACATGTCCATGATTGTATGAACATAGTAGGGACTGGAGGAGTGTATTATGGCCAACTGGTGCCTCGGAAGGGGTGTGTATGTATCTATACATGTGAATGCACACTGGTCAGATTCAGTTTTGCAAAACACCTGAGACATAATTGTACACACTATTACTTGCTAAATGATAGTAATGAAGAGAACCAACAATTAGTCCTTTAAAAAAAAAAAAAACAACCTCTTTGTCCACGTAATTGCCCTCCTTTATCTGTGAGCCTTTTGAATTTTCAAAGAAAATCTCAGGCTGGTGTGGTGAATAGAGCTCTGGACTCAGGCAGGAAAACCTGGATTTGAATCCATCAAGACACTTATTATCAGGGTGATCCTGGAGGAGTCACTTAACCCTCTCTGAGGGTTATTTCCTTATCTGTAGAATGGGGATAATAATAACACCTGCCTATAGTGTACTTTTACAAACATAAATGAGCTTCTACATGTAAAATACTTTGTAGACCTTAAAGAGCTATGGAAATGTTAGCTGTCCTGATGATGAATAGACCTCATTATCCTTCCTCTCCTCAAAACTCTCCAGTGTCTTTTTAAAAAAAATTATTTTTAATTTATGGAATAAAACAAGCATTTCCATAACATAGTATAATAAAAAGATGATTGCACACGAAACTGCAAATGTTATGAACAACTTGCTATTCCTTTTATGTAACAAAGTTATCATATAAATTTCTTTTTTTTTTCTCAGTGCCTTTTTGTTGCCTCCCAACTCCATGTTCCTCCATCTGCTATTCAAGGCCATTAATACGTTATCTTAATACCCTTAAAATACACACCAATCAATCTGGACTATTCTCTGTTCCCTGAACACTCTCTATTCTCTGTGTTTTTTCACTTCTTTGATGATACTATTCTTTATATGTATACGTCTCATTCCCCCAGGCGACATTATAGTTGTCTATTTATATGTCCCAAATTCTGCCCTCTCTATAGTCCGTAAATTTCATGAGGGCAGGGACTATGTCTTACCTAAATTTGGTATCTTCCCCCATGGTGCTCTATACATAACAGTTGCTTTAAAAATGTTTGTTGAATTGTATACCTCAAAAAGTAATTTGGTGAGTTGCCTAAAGGAGTGGAAATATCAATTTAAAGAAGAGGGTGAGAGGGAGCTAGTTTGAAACTGGTCCCATTGTGGGAATGAGAGTGTATGTGTTCACTGAGGGAGATGACTTGTTTGTCTGGCAAGATAGTATTATTTATAACTGACTAAAAACATAAACTAAGTTCCTATTTATTTAAATGTAATACCCCCACTTAATGAACATTACCCAAGGGCTGACATTGTCTGGTAGTGCCCAATTTTCTGTGTTATGATCAAAATGTGTGGTTTTGTCAGCTGTGGTTTTGATCTACTTTAGAAAACGAAGAATGTTTGGACCAAAATTTTCTGTTACCGTTATTTTAAAGCATGACTTCAGGGAAGTCTGTGTACTTTTCCAATTGGTTTGGTCTTTAACACTCCATCAAGAGGAATGACTTGGATTATCATTGTAACATAATTTGTCACCCAGCAATCTCTTAAAAAAATATTGTTTGCTGAGACTGAAACATTGAAATGCTTCCTCCTGCTGGGCAGCAGATTAAAAGAGGGAGAGACACACAGAGGAAAATCAAGATGCAAAACTGGGTCAAATCATTGTGTTGGGCCATTGTGCAAATGGCCTTATGGGGGTGTGGGGCAGGGCTGTTGCGTATGGCTCCAGTCTCAGGAGATGATGAGACTGAGCAGCAAAAACTTGTGGCCCCTCCCTGCTCTATAGACAAAGAAGGGATTACTGTCCCGGGTCATAATGAGCTATAGGCTTCCCACGAGGGGGAGAGGGCTCCTCAGGATCCAGCCCCAACGTAATCATTTCCAAATAATTGTGATAGTCAGTTTACAGATGAGCTTGCAGAGAGAAGTTGTGGTTTTCAGCCAGAGGAAGGCAAGGCTATTCAACTGCAGATAGTCACCATTCTTGGGGGGTGTTTTGTACATGTTTTATTGTTCTAGGAGAAATAAAAAGGGAACTTGGACTTTAAGTTAAAAAAAAAAAAATCAGAGCCAGAATGTATGTTCCTTTTGCTTGGTAGAAAGCACAGGACAGGACCTGGGTCACTTCTAATGCAGTCTTAAAAAGGATGTTGCTCAGGCTTTCTTTCTGTACTCGTTCCCCATTGAGGATGTCTGAGGATGTCACTTATATTTGAAATGCTGCTTGGTGAAAGGCCTCTTGCAGCAGGACAGGGCTTTGTGAACAGCTTACCATTATGGAATGGAGATGTGCAAAGAAGAATTTTTCTCTTCTGTGAGGGCTGAGCAGTTGAAACTTAACAGACACCCACCCCCCCCCCCCCCCCCACACACTCAAGAAACACTGTAGAAACCAAAGGAAGGGATGTTATCATTCATGTTAAACTTGTTTGTGCCTTTCCTTCTCTTCTCTGGTACTTTGTAAATTTCAGATGCAAAACACTCATTTTCCCAATTGAGGTTTCTGTCAGTCAGAATGCGGGAGCATGTGCTCTTTTGGAGGGGAGGGGCCGGAGTGTGAATGTATACTTCTGGTGACTAAGCAAGCCTTCTATTTCTGAGCTATGCTTTGGGAAGTCTCAGCACCTCTTAAGTAAGTGGCAATCTGTCTCAGAGCTGTGTTCATGGTGTTAGATTTGAAACTTAACAAGAGTGCCTCGTTCCCCCTCTGATGAGCCCTGAGGATGCCTGAGTTAGATTGATTGCTCTTTACAAGGCTCAGAAATAAAAGCCAAGAAGGATTTTCAGAATGTTATATTAATGCTTAGAGGGAGGCAAGCAACTGAACAATTAATTTGAGAAGCATTAAATGCCTAGAATGTGCTAGGCTCTGAGGATACAAAAGCAAAGCAAGAGGATGAGGGGCATCTGTGAACATCACCCAGGAGCATGTAGATAATAGATTTAGAAGTAGAAGGGACCTTCCAGCTCGCCTAATTCAACTCCCTCATTTGTATGGAAGAGGAAGCCAAGGCCCAGAAAGGTTAGGTAATTTGCCCAAGATCACACAGGTTATAGGCAGCCTGATAGAGACCCTCTTGAGGACAGGTACTCTTGTTTTTGTCTTTGTCTGAGGAGCACCTAACATGGTGCCTTGTACCCAGTAGGTGCTTCATAAAAGTGAATGAATGAAAATACTGGTATAAAATACATAGCTATGTAAATATAGGCTTTTATTAAATATGAAAGAATATCATTATAGGCCTTGTCCTAGAATCAGAAAACCTGTATTTACAACCCGTGTCATTTTGGGCAAGTCATTTCACAACTCTTCTGGACCCAAGTCTAGATCCTGTGCACCTATGCCCCACACATAACTTTAGGTTTTTCATACGTCATAGACTGATTTTTTGGAAAAGATTTAGACTAGTAAAAGAGAAAAAGCTGTACCCTTCCATCTATCTCACTTTTCTGTGTAGAAAATCCTTATTTAGTTATCATAAAAGGATGATTAAGGACACACTGGATTGGAAAAAAAAAAAAGAAAAACCCACAAACAATTTTCACATTTCCAGCCTAGGGAATGAAAAGATCCTAATACAACCAGAATTGGGCTAGAGCCAACAATCGGGATTAGCTCCTCTGGCCTGGGCTGGAGAGGCCAGCTGCAAACCAATGCAGGGAAAGTAGGGAAGATTTTCAGGGTGTTGCTTTTCGCATAATGAAGGCTAGTTGAGCGAACATTGATTTTTGGTGCCCTTAGCATCATGCTCCCAGTTAGAGAAATTCTTAGTTTCTTTCCTTCCTTCTCTTGCAGGCTGGAGGTTCTCAGGTCATCTTCACTAATCCTTTGGAGATTGTGAAGATTCGACTGCAGGTAGCCGGGGAGATCACCACGGGGCCCAGAGTCAGTGCCCTGAATGTTCTTCGAGACCTGGGGCTCTTTGGGCTCTACAAGGTAGGTAGTCTCCGTAGAGAGTACGGAACTGACTACACCTTAGATGGATGGGAAAGACTGTGAAACCAAACTGTGTTGAACAAGACCTTTTCACATTTAAAACAAACAAAACAACCCCAATGTTTTCCTGCCGAGTGGCCCCTGGAGGAGAAAAAACAAATGGAGAAACACCTGATGCTGTAGTGTGGTAGTGGGATATACAAACATTGTCTCTGGCCCCCACCCCCAGTCCCTGGGCTTTTATACCTCTCCCCAGGGAGGCGGCTATTGCAGACCCGCTGGCTTCAGCCGCTCATCTTTTCATTTGGTGGGGGTTTGTGAAAAGTTTCTCAGCTTTTCCTTTGTACTTGTTTTGGAGTTCAAATTGTCTTACATTTATTTTGAATCTGTTATCTCTATTGTTATCTTCCCAGTGGGAGCCTCCCTTTGTCTTAATAATTTGACGACCAGGAAACTGTAGTAGAGTTTGGTAGGATTCAGATGTTTAAGAAGTTAAGTGGTAGGATTTGTCAATAATGAATTACATTTAAAAAAAAAAAAAGCCCACACGGTACTGTACTTTAGCAAAATGCCAGTCAACAGATTCCTTCCCTGCAGGTATACTTACTCCCATCATTACAGATCAGATGAAATGGAGCAGAAGCTATTAGTTTTCTTAAACAAGGAAGTCTTTCTTCCTATCTCCTTCACTGGTACAAGGGGCTAAATTCTGCACCTACAGGCAGCTGTGCACCGTGCTTCCAAAGCATCCTCCTGGAAACAGAATTATTTATAGAGCTAACGCTTCAGAAATGTATAAATGTGCCTCTGTAGTGGCAGCGTTTATTAGGAATTCTGTAGATGACGAGTCCCCCAGCTCTTGTATTGTCTAGGGAGCTCTGCCACCACAATTCCACGGATGAGAGTGCCAATACTTGGGAGTTGGGGCCTAGGATTTGGCATTTCCTGCTTCCTTCATTATGTCTTCCCCCATTGCACCTCCAGCTTAATGTGCTGCTACTTTAAATTATTTCTCTTTATACAGTGCCTTGAGGAGACCTTGGGGTTTTTCCATGACTGACATTTGTCTTTTTAAAAAATCAGAAAAAAATTTTGAAGATAGAGTTCTCATCTGCTCTGGTCAAGACCAGGCAGTTGATAGCTCATAGATAATTGATGATGTCGCTTGGAAAAGTACTCACCGAAATGGGGTGGGGCAGGTTGTCTCTGGGTAATTTTAAACAAGCAGCCAGAACTGAAAATTCTTTTTTTGCCAAGTAATCCCCATCTTCACCTCTATTCCCCTTCCCCAAATGAGGGAAATAGATAGGGTCACTGTGTCTTGTCTCTGCTTGCCAGCTTTGCGGCCCCCCTTCAGAAGGAAGCCAGTTACAGTACCCTCTATGATCCCTGGTAATTCCTATATTTTGCCATGGACTGACTTAGTTCTTTGTTAGCTCTCTTGGCTTTCTTTCATTAGCGGTGGTGGTGATTTTGAACTAATTCATGACTAGAATTTCTTCTATTCCCCAATATTCCTCTCACCAGAGGTAGCTACATATTAAGTCACTTAACCCACTAAATCAACTAGCAGTGAGGCTGTGTGAAATAGTGGATAGGGTGCTTTATTTTGAAGTAGAGAAGGCCTGGGTTTAGATACCCTCTTCAGATGTTTAGTAGCTGTGTGACACTGGGTAAGTAACTTAACCTTTCTGTGCTTCAGTTTCTTCATCTGTGAAATGAGAATTGATAACTGCTAAGGTCCATTCTGGCTCTCTATAATCCTATAATGTTATGGAATGCTATTAATCTTTTTTTTAAGGAGTATTTTTTTCCCAATTATATGTAAAGACAATTTTTAGCATTCATTTTTACAAGATTTTCAGTTCCAAATTTTTCTCCCCCACTCCCCTCCTCTCTTCCTAGAATGGTAAGCAATTTGATATAAGTTATATATAGAAATGCTATTAATCTTAAAAATAGAGTCTGTGACAGAAGCACCAGTGGCTCCTTAGTTGTTCATAGTGGCTCCATTCTTCAGGTGGCCAGCTGAAGGTACCTATATTTATTAAAGCTTAGGGAACCTTAGGAAGAAGTTATCTTTTTTTTTCTTCACCAAAAAGCATTTATTAAATACTTTCTTTTAAAATTCTTTTTGTTCATTTTATTTGCTATTTCCCAATTTCATGTAAACATTTTTCATTTTTTTAAACTTTTGAATTCCAAATTCTCTGCCTTCCTCCTGCCCTTCCCCCCTCCTTGAGAAGGCAAGCACTTTGATTTCCATTATATGTGTGAGGTTGTGCAAAACATAGTTCTATATTAGTCAGGCTGCAAAAGGAAACACAGACAAAATAAAATAATAAAAAGGAAGAAAGTTGAAAAAGTATGCTTTTATCTGCACTCAGAGTTCGTCCGTTTTCTCTCTGGAGGTGGATGGCATTTTTCATCATGGGTCCTTTGGAATTGTCATGGATCATTGTCTTGATCAGAGTAGCTAAGTCTTTCACAGTTGATCATCCTTACAATATTACTGTTACTATGTACCATGCTCTCCTGGTTAGGAATAAGTTATCTTAAACCTTACTGTGCGTGTGGGTGTATCCCTCCTCACAGCCCCTTCTCTAACAACTACCCCCTCCTCCTATTCCCCTGCCAGATCCCTGGAAAACTATTGAAGTTGCAACTGGCTTTTCACTTGGAGATCTTTTTTCCCACTTGGGTAACTTGCTAGCTTAATTCTCCCTGTTTATACAACTGGTGTGCACTGTTTTCTCTGTATGTGACAGGGTGCCAAAGCGTGTTTCCTCCGAGACATTCCCTTCTCTGCCATCTATTTTCCTGTTTATGCTCACTGTAAACTCCTCCTAGCTGATGAAAGTGGACGGGTTGGAGGCTTAAATCTCCTGGCAGCTGGAGCTATGGCAGGTAACAGTAATTTTTTTTTAACCAAAAGAGCCTTTTATTTCTTTTTTGCACTTGGAAATGTAGAATCTACAGGTACCTGTTCCCTTTATAGAACCAGGATTATTGTTTGTAGATGACTTACTTTAAATATGATCACCAGTCTCCTTTGTGGGATATACTTTAATTCTGATGAGAGCTAATTACATTTGCATAATGTGGATAAACAGCTTAATGCCGCTTTAGCAACTTGTAGCCAAATTAGATCTGCCCATCTAAATTGGGCTTTCATCATTTACATGTTTCAGAAGCTTCTAGCCTACTGTAAATCTTGGGTGAGGCAAACCAGTAACTAAGAAGGTGATTGGGGCTGGGGAAGGTGGGAAGGGTTCAGGAGGCTGAGGAGGTTTATCTAGTTATAAATCAGGTATCAGGAAAGGTTCTAGTCAAAAAGGTGTATTCAATAAGGGTAAGAGTCTCTTCCCACTTCAGCCTATAACCTCATGCTTTTCTTACAGATGTTTGATTTGGAGCTGTAAGTAAAACAAGGTTTCCTCGTGAGCTGTCAGTATTCAACAGTGACACAGGAGAGAGGGTCACACGATCCCAAATCACTTGACATTTACTTGCATGTCAGTAAGTGTAGAGATACAGCGTGGTATAGCGGATAGAGAATCAGCCTCAGAGCCAGGGAGAAAAATGTTTCAAGTCCCACCTTTGACCCATACTGGCTATAACTTTTCAGTGCTCTAGGAAATTCTCTAAAACTGTAATCTACCGAGAAGGAATAGACCCAAATTAGCGGGAGATTCCTCACTTGGGTGTTCCCTATACCAGTGAAATCCCAGGTCTAGTCCCCATCCCCTCTCTAGAAAGTGTAGTTATCCCTTCCACATCTCAACTATCTCTCTCGAGGTATCGATACATCATGGGTTGGAATAAGAAATTGAATGGGGATTTTGGGGGAGTTTTGTGGAAGCTGCAGATAACACTCAAAGGCCAGCAGACAACACAGAAAAAGTTTAGGAACTCAAAAATGCATAAAATAGATGTATAGTATTGTATAATATCAGCATATTTTATCTCTTAATACCACAATAAATCAGACTTCTCTGGTACGAAGGGAAGGCCAAAAATTTTTACTTGGATTTTCCAGATTGTGGACGTGTGCCCTTAACCCCCAGATGAGGAAGGGATAACTGCATAAAGGGGAGAGGAGGAGGGAAGGGCATGACTTGAATAGTTGTATCTCCAGCCTCTAAAACATGACCCGTCAGCCCTGAGTCCAGGGTCCAGACACTGCTTTCACAGAAAATGTTCTCTGGCAATGTGACTCTGCTAGGTTTAGCAGGACGGTTTGAAGATCCCTCTTTTCCCAAATTTAGGTGTCCAGGAGCTACCTCAGGTCCTTTGAGGAGGAGAAAGTGAGGCTGGTAACTTTGCACTTCCCTCACTCACTTAAATCAATTCACTTGCATGTCATGGCATCACCTCCCTGATGGCATGGTCCTCTTTCAGAACGAAGGATAAACAACAACAACCAAAGCAGGGGAGGGCCATGCCAATAAGATAGATGTCCACGGCTTTTCAGCTTATGATTGAGAACCTCCTTCCAAAGTTGGTTACCACCAGAGCTGCAAGAAGGCATTACCATGTTTCAGCAAATTATTTGCTTTATTCTGCCTCTTCTCTTTATTAAAGTGGACAGTTGAAAGCCAGAGAGTTTATTTGCTTTGCACTTGGTATGGTGTGTTGGCCTCGCTCCTTTCTGAAGCTCACTCATTCTGACTGAAGTCTCCCCAATTTAAATTGGGGTCAGCACTCCCATGCCAAGCTTTCTTCATTTAATTTCCAAACCAACAACAAAAAGCAGCAAGAGATGAACTCTCCAAGCCCAGCAAGGCATTTTGCCTCAGGTTGAGCTGTGGTTGGTTTCTTTTTCAGTTGGGAGAGCCAAGTAAATAAACCAATCCAAACTTATATGGTTCTCGAAAATGTCACATCCATGAAATGCTGTCAATCCCAACTTCTCACCCACAGCCATAATTAGAAGTCAATATTTCTAATTTTTACCCACAAATGGTTGAAGTGTATATGGTTGCTGAAGAAAGTACCGAATACTGTACTAAGGAAAGTTATTCACCCCCGAGTTGGAGGAGTTGCGGTTTTAAACTTGGTACAAGAGTGGAGTAGTATTTGCTTTTCTCCTTAGCGTGCCTGCCCATCTATCAGCCCTTCTAACTTTGGTAGCTGTTTCAGTGGTATTCTGATCAAATTGATTTTTTTTTTAAATTCTTCTTGTATCATTCCTTTGTTCCCTGTTTTTGCTTTTATAAATGAACTGTGTGTTGGTGAAATCCATTTTCTGGATCCTGCTGATCGTCTCAGTGTGACCCCAGGAATCTCAGATACAGTAAATGATATGCCCTTTAAACAGCTAGCTGTCCTAATTCTCTTAAATTGATGGTTTGTCCTCCTCCTTGGCCTGCTTTACTGGCCTTCACTTCCCAAACTGGTACCAACGGGGGTCACCTACTTTTATGTTGGCCCATACTGCAGGTGGACCATTCTAATTATTAATATTCACAGAGCAAGGTGGGGTTGACAAGAGTCAGCTAACAATACCACGAGTTGGTGTCAGATGTATTTAGCAGCTCATTGAATACATGCCAACATCTTACCATTTTTTTTTATTACCTGTGAAAATATTTGCATCTTCTTTAAGAAGAAAGGGGGAGGTATTTAATGTGATTGACAATGCAACTGGAAGGAGAACCTTGGAAAGAGTTGTTCTGTTTATATCACAGCATAATTTTTCATACAGACTCACACAATGTAGAATTATTTTCAATTCTTGTCACAAAATATGACATTCCTAATTTAGGAGCAACACAGAAAGGCTTTGCTCTGACCCCTGAAGTGACTAAAAGTTATCTTATGCCTTTTTTTTTTTCCATTAGCACCCAAGTGGCTGTTGAAGAAAGTTTAAGCTTCCCACAAGGGTTAAAGTTGGTAGTTATATTGTTAGAGGTTAGAAGTATTTCTCTCTTACAGGATACTTTGGGTAAATTAAATGTGGTTTTCTCCTGAAAGGTGTGCCTGCTGCTTCTTTGGTAACCCCTGCTGATGTCATCAAAACAAGGCTGCAAGTGGCAGCCCGCGCTGGTCAGACAACATACAGCGGTGTTATCGACTGTTTCAGAAAGATACTGAGAGAGGAAGGGCCGTCAGCGTTCTGGAAAGGGACTGCAGGTAGGGCCCAAGTTCAAGTAGAGCGCTTCCTTCACCGCTTGGCCAGATCCAGCCTGGGTTGCTAAATTCAGCCGACTTGCTTCCTTCCCTTTCTGCAGCCCGAGTGTTCCGATCCTCTCCCCAGTTTGGGGTCACGTTGGTCACCTATGAACTTCTACAGAGATGGTTCTATGTCGATTTTGGAGGCCTGTAAGTGCTGCTGCGGATTTTCTTCTATAAAGAGAGAGCTGAGCCATGCTAAGTTTTTTAAGGTTATTAGAGGGCTGGTAGAAAAAAAACTTTCTGGGACACATACTTGTAAACTAGTGGTATCGAGAGCCCAAGAAGAATGAGATGGTGTATCTTGTAAGCTGTCACTTAACTATCTCAGGGAGAACAGAGGGAGGTAACAAAGTAACGTCTAGAAATACCTGCATTTTAGCAAAATGTTATTGTTTTCATTTTTCATAGCTCTATTAATCATTAATCCCTTTATCCTATCACCCAATAATGTATAGTTTTAATTCAAAGCAGTTGTCATTACTATAAGTCAGAGTAGAGTACATGTAATCTTTTTTTTTTTTTTGCATTGATATAGAAAAGATAGAGAATTTTCCATTGTAAATAACTTGTTTCAGTTCAAATAGTGGTAGAGAGAGTCATAAGCCTGTGGGGGGGGGATAGGAGGGGTTTCTAGTGGTGTAATGGGTAGAATACCAGGCCTGGAAGGAGGAAGACTTGAGTTCAAATCTAGCCTCAGATACTTATTAGCTGTGTGACCCTGGGTAAGTCACTTAACCACTGTCTGCTTTAGTTTCCTCATCTGTAAAATGGGAATAATAATAGCACCTACCTCACAGAGTTGTTGTTAGGGTCAAATGAGACAATAGTACTATGTGCTTGACACGTAGTGAACTCTATATAATGTTAGTTATTACTATTGTTATTATTATAGTTGGAAGAAGGGCTTTAACAGTTATAGTCATGGGAAGGAACCTCAGAGATCATCTAGCCCAGGGGTGGGGAACTTATTCTGTGAAGTTTGGATTCAATCAAACGGCTGCACTTGAGGACCTAGAGGGCCACATGTGGCCTTGAGGCCCCAAGTTCCCCACCCTGATAGCTTACCCCCTTATTTTACAGATGAGGAAACTGAGACCTAGGGAGGCCAAGTAACTTGTCCAGGTTCTCACAGGTAGTATTAATGGGGTAACCATGAGTCCAGGACCAAAAGAAATATGATTGTCAATTCATCTTGGAAGGAAAGGGTAGACAACAGAAAGAACACTGGCTCTAGACTTAGTGGGTCTGGGTTCAAATCCTACTTCTGCCACTTATTATCTGTGAGATACTAGACGTGTCACTTACCTTCCCTGGGCCTTTGTTTCCTCACTTTACAAATGAGGAGGCCACATATGGCCCTCTTCATGGCCTCCAAGATCCCCTCTCCACCTAGATTTCCAATCATTTTGATGGTGGAGGCCAGGGTTTAGTTTAGTTTCACAAAAGGTGAATTTGTTAATTTATGGTAGCAGTTATATGTGGTTGAAAATTGGTTCCAGTTATCTATAAAGAGTTCCCTTCCAGGTAAGTCTGTGTAGGAGGCCAAATTATAAAATTAGGAGGTTGCTTGGTGAACGTGGAAGCAGAGTAAACAGAGAGGGATATTCTCCAGGGAGGTTTCCATCAAACCTCCCAGTATTGCTTTTCTGCATTTGAGAGCTCCTTCTGTCTAAGGAACCTTCGACAGTTTCCTGGAATTAAAACATTCTTTCTCTCCCCTGGACCATGTAGGAGAAAGACAAATTCTTGGCATTCAGGTCTCCCTTTTTCACTCTTTCTTACACAACAGAAACCTTGATCGTGACACCCCTCTCTTCTGCCCTGTGCTCCAGTTTCCAAGATGACAAGTTTAATCTTACATTATTTACACTCTAGATTGATACCTTCCCCTTTGGGAAGGCCCCTTTTGCCCCTTGCTCAGATTCAGAAAGCACCCTTGTCTTAGCAGCAGCATGCTTACAAACCATGTCTTAGGGTGTGTAACTTCAGTAGGGGACTTCCCTGAGAGGGTAGTACTTTCTGGCTTTGCCCACTCATTCTTAGGAAGTACCCTCTTTGGAGCCTACACACTATATACTTAGTATAACTTTTACTCTCCAAAGCTCTGTTTTATTGACCACTGTTTGTTTTCTATCGCTTTTGACCAATAGCAAGCCCTCGGGCTCAGAACCGACACCCAAATCACGCATCGCTGACCTTCCTCCTGCCAACCCTGATCACATCGGTGGCTACAGACTGGCAACGGCCACTTTTGCAGGCATCGAGAACAAGTTTGGCCTCTATCTTCCCAAATTTAAATCTTCTGTTGTTGCTGTAGTTCAGCCAAAGGTGGCGGTGGCACCACAGTGATGAGACAAGTGTTCATTGTGGTCAAAGGTTGTGATGGAGAAAGGCATAGGAGAGCAGCACTGTCATTTATCCAGTCAGCTGCATGGTTCTAGCTGAACTGAGAATTTAAACCAGTTCTTTCTATATGATATATACATATATTTGTTTATAAAGTAATCATTTGCACAGAAAAACAACCGCAAAAGAGTTTCAAGCTTAAGTCTTGTGTTGAAATGTTTTTTTGTTTTTGTTTTTTTCTAACCCTGGCATGAATTAGCGCCCTAGACTCCGCCTGACACAGCTTGCACTTAGTGACTGTACATATTGTACATCTTTGTACAGAGACATCATGGCACCTTCACCCTACAAATGACATTTACAGAAGGGAAAAGCAGTTCTGAGTGGCTGGAAATGTACAGAATGTTTTGAAAGTGTTTTATGAAGAATCACATGACAATAAAAATGTATTAAAATTAAATTCATTCTTTTATTGGTGACATGGCAATAAAGCATCAATAGAAGATGTATTGAATTCATGGTAATGGGTTTTCCATTCTGGAATTTAAAAAAAAAAGTATTTGCTGATAAAGGCAGAATGAGAGCTGCCGGTGACATGCCTGGATGGCACTTTCTTGGAAAAAAAACAAACTGCATGCTAGTGGAAGCCAGCGGCCTAGCATAATGACTTCTGTGTGTCTTTTCTTCTTTTCGCCTGTGTTTAACATGTCCCCTTTCTATCATGGCTCCCAGGATAATCCTCTGTTCAGTTTGGAGGTTCCTTCCTGGACAGCACCTCTTTTGCCAGGTTCTTTTCTGGCAGCCTTGCCTTATTCTGATACAGCAGGGGTGAGGCTCCACCTTTCAGAACAGTAAAGGCTGCCTTGGCAACGGGCTGGGAGCTTTGAAGCTGTACCTTAATTTGCCTCCAAACGGATATGATTCCAATCCAAAATAAACTGCGCACCAAAATGTATCTTTGTACTCGGATCCTCCCTAGTGGATAAAATGTGAAGTGCTTTCTGGTCTGGTTCAACACCAACCCCCCAAAACTGGCATATGGATTTGTCCTCAGCCTGCCATTATAGGGAACATACCACATTTAAAAACAAAACCCCCAACATGAAAACCCATGTAATGGGTGGCACGGTTGGCTGTTTTAAAGGTTTTTGTTAAGGTGCTTTTCCTTTGAGGCTCTTATTAGCTAGAAACTCAATCTGCAAGGATTCAGGGACCCGATTATCTGTAAATATGCTGTTTATCAGCCACATCCTCCATTTGGAACAGGACTGATTTGACTTGCAGTCACTTCACAATTTGCTTCATCACATGGATTTGGGGAAATTCTATTACTGTCACTGATGAGTTAATATGCGATTGGCAGTCAGGGCTAGGTGTCTGTATATAAACATCTCCAAGGAGCAAGTTTCTAGACATACAAAATCACTCTGTATTCTACATGGGGGAAGGAGGGGCGCAGGACAACGGGGCAGGGGATGCTATAGTTTGTACAGAAACATGGCCGATGGCTCTTCCACAGTCAATTCAGGATTTCAGGCCACAAGGCCTCAAAACACTCGCTCCGTCAAAAGCAAGTTATTTCCAAATGGCTTCAGGCCTTCTTGATTTGGTTGGATCCAATGTTTTTAATGGCTGAAACTACTTTGAAGAAAAACTATGGGTTTGAGGAGGGACAAAGAAGAGATCATTTCCTTCCTTAACAGGTTAAAATCTCTTTGAGGACAGAGTTGCCAGTGTGCCCTGCTTAAACAAAATATACTGTGATGGCTGACATTCATAGGAAATGAGGGAAACTTACCTGCAAAGCAGGCTATTGAAACATCAATTCCTCCTCCTCCCTTTGTCCCCAGATTCCGCTGAGTGTTGGGACAGGGCTCACTCTCTTAGGATAATCAGTATTCCCATGAGTCATACCATGGCTGTCACTTTGATTTGATTTTGAAAATCATACCCTTTCAAATGATCAGCGACTGGGTCTACATACAAACTCAATCTGGCAGCCCCAAGATTGTGACTACTAAAGAATATATGGAGAACCCTGAACCCTAGGCCTTGGGTAGCCCTACTTACCATCTCCGGGGGTGATAGGGAGTTGTATAATACAATGATAGTTGTCTTTGTGGTTGCCACAACCCTTAACTCCAACCAGTGGTTGCTCTGAGAAGTATCGATGGTAAATCCATGAATGTATAACCCAGGGTTAGCCTGTTCAGAAACCCACCCACGACTGAATGAGCAAATGTATCTGAAGCATCATTAAAAAGTGAACGCTTCATTTTGCAAAATGTGTCTAAAAAGGCTTATAGGAGCTGGAGAGTTGCAAATGTAAAGGTTGATTAATAACTCTGCCTTTGCTTTACTGAGTCACGATATTAATATCTTTGTGCACATGATGCTGTAATCGGTGTGGTGTAATAATAAGCAATTTCCTCACAATAGCATTAAGGTAGGTAGTGCAAATATCATTACCTCTCTTTTATAGATAGGGAAAGTCCCAGAAAGGTTAATTCATTTGCCTGGGGTCACATAGGTCGAAGGCTGTAGAGCTGGTCTGCTGGTTCCAAATTCAATGCCCTTTCTACTAGAGAACACTGCCTTCAATAAAACCATAGTTCTTGGCTTCAGGGAGAGGCCAGGGTGTCTGAGCTTTAAGGGCCTTGCTGCACAGGCTTGAGCCAAGCCTGAAGCTGCAGAATGGGGTAGTAAAGGGAAAGCCCTTATCTATTAATTCAGCCTTTTGCCAATTTTAAAGAGCTGCAGGAGTATGAGCAGAGACCTCTAGGACTCCTTAAAACAGTCAATTCTACATTCCATGTGCACACAATACCCAGGAGCTGCATCCTCTGACCTTATTAGAAGTACTCACTTGTTGATGATGTTAGCTTGTGGAGTGTTAATTACTCTCAAGGCTTTGTCTTGTTTAAGAAAAGTGCAAAAGACCTTCATTGCATAAATACTGGTCAAATAACTAGTGCATTTCAGAGGGGGCTAGATTCATTTTGCAATGAAAGGATGAGAGGGCCTTTTCTGAATTTCTTGCTGTCAACTTGAGCATCTCAGATTGAAAAGATGGGGCCAGCATCCATTAACCACAACGACCTCTGAAGTACCGTCCAAATTCTTTATTGTATCAAGAGTTTGAAATTAATGGGCCACTAGTTAGGCCTTGTAAATCTACATTAGAGGAAGTCTGTTTTACAATAGACATGATAAAAGGTTTGGGGATGCAATTAGAAAGTGGAGTTTGGATGAAGCAGAAAGCTCTGTCACTGGAGATCAGAAAAAGGCAAAGCGGGCCATCAACAAAAGATGAAGCTCACCATTTAATCCAAGCAGATCCAGAGACCCATAAAGTAACAGACTGTCTTTCCCTTCTGTCTCCCAATTCAGTCCAACAAGTATTTATTAAGCTATGTGCAAAGCACTGAGAATACAGAGGCAAAATGAAACATCTCCCTCTCCCTTCAAAAACCTTACAATGTACTCGGAAGATACATGTCAACAGGAAAGTTAAGGTAGGGTGAGTTTAATTTTTTTTTCTTTTTTTAAATTATAAACTAACACATGCAAACATCCACAGATAACAAAACAAAACAAAAAAGAGGATCGTATATGAACCAGTAACCTTCAGTTCTGCAGGGTTTATTTTAAAAGAAGTGATGCAGAATAACGTGAGGAAGAAGTCAGAACGAACAACTGAGGTGAACAGAAAAGACTTGCACAGGATCTAGCAAGTGAGCTGAGCCTCGAAGGAAGCTGAGGACTCTGAGAGCTGGAGCTGCGCAGGGTATGCATCTCAGGCAGGGAGGACTAGTTTTGCAAAGGCCCAGGTGGGAGGCAGCGTGCCAAACTGGGGCAACTTCAAATAGGCCAGTTTGGCTGGAATTTATTATGTGCCATAAGCCTGGAAAGGTAGGAAGGAGCCAGATTATGAAGGGGGTGGCAGAACACAAACTGCCAACCTGAGGATTTTGTACTTTATCCCAGAGGCGATGGGGAGCCATTGGAGTTTCTTAAGCAGACCCCCATGGGACTTATCTAATCACTGACTAGGAGTTCAGGGGATCATTAGGCAGTAATTGAACATTAAAACACAATTTACACATTTTGCTCTGGTGAGTAGGGAAGGACACGATCCTGGGTTTTAGTCCTAACTCTATCAATAAATTGCTCAGTGTGTGACCTAGCACAAATTATTTAAACTGCCTGGTCCTCAGTTTATTCATCTGTTGAAATGAAGTAACTGAACTAAATGACCTTCAAGGTTCCTTCTGGCTCTGACATCCTGTCATTTTGTATCTTTGTAGGAAAATGATAAATGACATTTAGTTCAAGAGCAGCAATTACACATTGGCCCAGCAATTAAAAAAATCTAGTATTAAAATGGATCTGTTAATTATTTTAGCTCTTTATTTTCATTTGTCTAAAAAAGGACACATTGTTCAGTCACGTCCAACTCTTCGTGACCCTGTGGACCATACTGTCCATGGGGTTTTCTTGGCAAAGATACTGGAGTGGTTTGCCATTTCCTTCTCCAGTGGATTAAAGCAAACAAAGGTAAAGTGACTTGCCCAAGATCACATGGCTAGTAAGTGTCTGAAGCCATATTTGAACTCAGGTCTTCCTGACTCTAGGCCTAGCACTCTATCCACTAAGCCATCTAGCTGTCTTAAAAAAAAAAAAACACAAAGGTGGTCTCAATTTATTCCATTTAACATCAATTTGCAACTTAACCACAAGATTTTATTTTTTTACAAAGAAGTTTCCTCATACTTCATTGTACTGATTATGATTCAATTACTTAATCATAAAGTAAGTATTGAGGTCTCTGCTTCTTTTCTAAAATGCTAGTTTACTGGGACAAGAGCCCATTTACTCCTTGAAAGGTAGTCATATCTGTCACATCCGATATGACCACACAGGCATTTGTATATCTCTTCTACTTCTGACTTTCAAAGGAAAAAGTAAAAAAATTTGATCCAGATCATTATTGTAATGTTAAAGAAAAAGGATTATATAGTGAGAAAATCCAAAGACAATAAAATTACTCTTCATGGACATTAAACTGATTTTCTGGTGGTGTGTTAGCTTTCTGGAACCCAATGTTCAGTAAGGAGTGTGTTCTGCACACTTCCCAATTCAATTCACAGTCACTGCCTTACTGCATTAGAACCAGGTCACCAACCACAGACCTGATAGGGTGAGGTCTCTCTTTTAAAAGCCCAGTTTGAGTATGAGCTGTTCCATGTTTTGAGTTAGTAATGAACCTAAAGAAGTCAACTTGAGATTTCAGTTAGGAAACGGCTAGCAATACTGGGATTTTGAAAAAGTTTGCAAAAGGAAAAAAAAAAGACTACCGATTGGCTGTTCTGAAGCCATTTTAGTTTAAAAACTGCATAATGAAAATCAACATGTTTAAGATCCATTTGATCTCTTGAAGAGTTTGAGGGGAAGTTAGCA